AAAAAAAAAAAAAGATGGAGACAACCTAAATGCCCATCAGCAGAAGAATGGTTAAACAAACTTTGGTACATACATACAATGGTTTCCAAGTAGTGGCTGGTGGGCTTGAAATGCTGATCTTGCAATTCAAACTGACTTTGCGGTCAAGTGCATTATCCTTCAGCGCCACACTAGGGCTCCAAGAAGGACATAGGCAGAGGAAAGATGAAGGTAGCAGGAGACACAGAGAGGAATGCAAAAGTTAAAGTAAATACTGTTAACTGATTTATGGTTACAGTCAACAAATCTTATACTTTGCTTTGTTTTAACAATTGCAACCATTATAATGAAGCAAAGTATAAGATTTGTTCAATGTAAAATTGATGATCTGCTCTGTAAACTGCACTCAATTGACAATAATTTTTTTTTCTAATTAAAAAAAGCATATGACATATTTGAGATAACACAACACAGGTAGAATAGAAATGAGATGAAAGTGTCCAAGCTCACAATTGTGGCTTCAGGGCTCAGTGCTAAATGTTGGCAGTAGTCCACCATTCAATACACACTAGACTGAAAGTGTCAATAGCCTGTAAAATTTCCTAAGGGTGAGCATCTGATATGGGAAAGTCATGCCAGGTAGTATCTTCTTATCTAAAATGATCTTACAGTTTAATTTAATACAGCTTCACCATGTGGTGTGGCCCCATCTCTAAAAATTGGACTAAGGGAATTCAACTTAGATATAGCAGAATAAACACAACCATTTATGTGTGTTTCCTGCTTAAATCCCATTAAGATAAATTTCAGGAAATAAAAAAGTATAAATCAATAAGAACAAAATATGAGCAAGTGGCAGCAGATAAGTGATGTCAACCAAATGTTGGAAAGTGATATACTGAGAAAGGAAGTGACCTGCTTGAGTTTCCTCTTAGGTCCACTATGTGCCTACAGGTGAGATGCAAGGAAGAAGTGGATTTGAACTGCAGAACCTTAAATCGACCTAGAACTGAAAGAATCAAAAACTTTGAAGGCAGGAGCAGAGGGAAGGCTGAAAACAGAACTTTTTCCACAGTTTAAGAGTTTACTGGAGGATGTGTTCCATAAAAACATGGGGATAAACCAGCAAAGAGGAAGGCATTGCAACTAGAAAACAAGGGTTTGTGAAGGGAATTTCCAAGTAGAGAGTAAAGGGAAATTCCAGCTATGTGAGGACTCAATCCTGTCTTCCACTGCAGAAAGATAATCAATAATGTCTAAAATTGAAAATTTTAAAATAGGAGCATACTAGTAATATAATAAATAGTGGAAAACAACAAAGAATTAAAAGTGGCTAACTAAGTTAACTAATTAAGAGTGAGACTTATGGGTGAAGAGAGTGGAAGGTGGGGAGTACATTTCTAACTGGAGATCTTATAGTACAATTAAACATTGGAAATTTTATATATGAATTATTTTGATTAAAATATTAAAAACATTTAACAGGGTAATAATAATTACAACCTCACAGGACTGGCAAAAGAATTAAAGAGTTACACATGAGTCATGTTTAAAGCACCCTGAATGGTATACTAAATAGTCATCAAATATTAGTTTTATTTGTAATATTTTAATTAAAGATTATTATTATGTCATTATTAGTATTAACAAAATTAGTACCTTCTCCATACTACTACCATCAAACACAAGCAAAAAAATAGTGTACTTTAACCCCCATAGAGAATTCTAGATACCAAGGCCAGGCCTTGCCAGACCTACAATTCTAGCCTTTCTGTGAGAGGTCAGAATTAACCTACCCTTCACAGGGTAGGTTGTCTAAGGCCAGGTGCAGTCCTTTATTGACAACCTTCTCCTCCTGCCCCATCCCCCAGTGACTGCAACCAGAGTTGGACTCACCTCAGTCTGTATGGTCAAGGTTATTCTAGGGACATCTAACGTACCCTGAAGGCTATGGTTCTGAGCTGGTAAGGCTGCCCAGGGAACAACCAGGTTTATGCCCAGGCATATGCCCGAACCCTCTGGAGAGTTTATGATTTGGGTACCAAATAAAAATGTCCCAAAGGCAAATCTCAAATTCAAGAAACAACAGCATAAGAAGAATTCAATAATCACAAAACCCAAACTGGATCACCCAGCTGTGTTTCACTGATGGGCATTTAGGTCATTGCTTTTAGGCAATTTGAGTACTATTTTTGATAGATATACCACACAGACTTTATAGTTAAGGTAAGGATGCATCTTGTAGTTTTACTAATGCTAAAAGTTTTAACATCTCCTCTTCTCTGAATTGTCTAACAATTACTGCTATTATTTCACAAGTCCAAGCTTCCACTGTGGCAAGTAGCAAAACAGAAAATTATTGCAATAAATAGAACATGTCAGAATATTTGTAGAGCTACTTAATCTGCTGGCATCTATGGAGCACTTATTCTGTGCCAGGCACTGTTGTTGGCACTAAAACAGTTGCTATATAAACTCCCTTAATAATTGCTTGGTTGGTTAATTTTCTTAAGAGGCAGTGTGTGTATTGCAGTTTTAAGTAACGAAATACAATGAGATGAGATGTGGGAAACAACAACCCTTTCCTTCTCGAGAGACTTTGGAAGTGAGGGAAACAGCTGGCTCTTTATCTCTGAAATATGTCATCGGCAATTTTTCTTTTTCCCCTATCCCATCTAAATCTTGGTACTACCTAATTTAGTTTTGAATCTCAAACAGGAACTAATAGTCATATTAATTGCAATAATTATATGTTAGATTTATAGAACTGCTTTTCTTCTAGCAAGTTTTCTAGAGCCCAGCAGATATTCCACAAATACATGTCCCCTAATAAGAACCACTATGAAGTCACTTCTAGATGGTCTTAATATTGTTATCAGGTTTTGTGGACTGAATTGACCTATGTACAATTGAAAAAAGGCTTCTTCACACCATGCCTTCTAGGAATAAACACCACAGGGTTGTCTCTAGGAAATGAACTCTATAGGCAATGTAGTTGGATATAATTAGCAACCTTTTCTTTTTTTAATGGATCCGCTGCATATCTAGCAATCAGCAAGTGAATGCTAAGTATATGGGGGGGGGGGGGATGGAAGATTGAAAACTATTTGAACTCCTTTTTCTTTTTGCCTATATCTCTTAACTTAATATCCTTTAAAGGAGTCAGTATGATGATGATTAACTAACTAGATCGGAGATTTTTTTTTTCTTCTTCTTTTTATTGTTGTCATTCAGGCAATTTTAAAGTAGGACTGTCTGAAATGGAACTGCACTGTTTGGAAACTGTCATGGCTGTTGATTATCTGTTTTATAATAGAATGCTCCTGCTATTTAGAATCTGAAGCTATTGAGGGCCTGTGAAGTACACGTTATAAAACATATGTATTCTAAGGCTTTAAACTTGGGGGACAGGTTGGATTGGTGTTAATGAGTCACTTTATTTTCAAATCAGCAGCAGCTGTAGCCCCAGCTCCCTTCTTTCCTCTCTGACTTCCTTTGGGAAGGACTGACTGGGAAAAACATTTTCCTATAGAACAATTAGTCTGTGATTAGTAAATAAGCATTGAGTGATTAATTCATTCCAGCAAACAAACAAGGAAATATGAAAAACAAGTTTCAAATGGATTTGACACATCATAGAATGTTACCTGCTAGACTCCTGTTTATATATGTCAATGATATTTTCCACCAATAGGTTCCTCTGAAGTCCATACACCCCATGTCTGTCCAACACCACTTCATGTCTGCAGGATGGGCAACGGAACCTGCCCCCCGATGCCACAGTGGTGCCTCCTCTTGTGGGCAGGTATGGATTAGAGGCCTGCTCTTGCCAAACAAGAAAAAAGAAGTTGAGTAACACTACAGATAGCTTTTCTGAGACTTTTTCTCACTGTCACTGCAAACAACATCTACTTCTACTTTAAGCTCAGCCATAAAATAAACCCTCAGCAAGTGATCTGAAAACACAAGGCCAACATTAATTCATAGTGAACTGCAATATAACATTTTTAATCCAAGATGCTCTTCCATCCAAGGTTTTCATAACCAAACATTAAAGTCTTGGACAGTAAGTTGTTTACAATTTCAAACCAGACTTAAAGTTTGTTTTCGAAAAAACAAATATGATTCTTAAAAAGTAGTGTCTTCTTGAAAATGAATGTACCCTTTTAAAACTTCCTAAAGGAGTTTATCTTAACACTAAGCACTTGATTCAGAGAAGAAGGAGGCCTTCCCACTCCCCAAATTCTAAATGAACCTACCTGGAAAATATCACTGGCACATTTCCTACACAGGTTATGCTGACAGGGGAGAATGACCACTGGCTTCGTGAACATCTCAAGGCAGATGGGACAAATGAGTTGCTTCTCCAAGTTATCCATGGTCTGCTGCTCTTTGGAAAAAGACTTGTAGTTCAGAGAAGAGCTCATCTCCTGGCCGTCAGTATGACCCGGGAAAGGGTGATCCAGATGGGCTTCTGCAAGGGTTTCCTTGAAATAATTCCAAGGATTGTGTGATCAAGTGTTCTTTACGTCCTGTTGGACGGCAGACATTGTTTCAGGCTCTGGTTCAGAGTGGGTGCCTGAGCTGTTTTTAGCAGTCAGGGGTCACGTGACAGTTAGCTGACTTGTCCATATAAGCCAGTGACAGGAGGATGGATCCTGACAGGTGACAGAGGACAGAAGTCTACATTCCTGCCCCAGGGAGTAAAGAGAGCGGGTGGGAAGGGGGATTACAAGCCCCATTTAGACAGGGGCTGTGAGGAGGAGGTTGAGGCTAACAGTTGTCAACAACAAATGCAATTATGCATGCCTAGAAACTGAGCCACAGACTCTATGAGAGCTCAGTCAAGACTTGTTGATGGGTTTCTCCAGGAAGGACAGAATGCAGCCCAAAAATCTAACTGTATCATGAGTGCCATTTCTGTCCTGAGATATTATGAAGAGAGTAACCAAAAGCAACGCAATAGCACCGTCTTAGGAGAACACAACACTTGTCTTGAAAATCATTATTCTAGCTTCACAAGAGTAATCATCACAAAAGACTTGCTTAACATTATATATTTCATCAGTGTAGCCAGGATTGTGGTCAGGGAAAAATTGCAATTTAAAAGCTGATTTTTTAATTCCTTCACTATAAGGCATCCATGAAAAAAAAAAGAAAAGAAAAGAAAAATCCAATATCAACTGATGATCCAATTATTTTTTTAAATGTAGAGTAAAATTCAAGTTTGTATTCTACATTGTCCTCCCTGCTCTTTAACCCTCTATCACTCCGTCCCGCATAGCCCTGTTGTTGTTGTTGTTGTTAAGTGCCGTCGAGTCAGTTCCGACCCACAGCAACCCTGTATAGGGTTTCCGAGGAGCTGCTGGTGAACTTGAACCGCTAACCTTGCAGTTCAAATGGTTTTGCAGTATGGCATATTAACCCACAGCACCACACCAGGACTCCCCCACATAGCCCTACACACATGCAAAAACACACAGAAAATTTGAGTCTTTAAAGTTTTGTGCTTAATTTGCAGCAATGAGCTAGTAATTGGCACATATAATAGCAAACCCACTATTTCAATTTTCATTCAGTGGGAAACAGGGATCAGGGCCATTAACATCTGAAGTGACAATGGGCTCATATTTCAATCCCTAGGTTTTACCAGCTTCCAAAATATGAGCGCAGCAATTCTGGAATTTGCCAGGATGCTGTGAAACTACTGTTTAATACATATTTTATTTTAAAATTTAAAATCAGATAAAAAATGAAAAAGACACTCATGCCTGTTTATTTACAATAAATTTGCTACTTTCTTTCTTCTTGATGTTAAAAACTTCACACAATGAATACAGCTTGTTAACATAACCCTGATGTGCACTTAATTGCCAATTGTTGCTGTTATTGTTAAGTGCCTTCAAGTTACAAAAACTCCAACTGGGTTTGTGTGGTCTTTGTGCTGTGTACACTGAGAATTTATTGAGAATCGAATAAGCTCTATTAACTAACTTTTTTGGAGTCCATAAGGTTATATGGAATCATAGACTTTGGGGAATTCTGGCATTCCTTTCACTATCTGTTGAGCTACTATAGTGAAGAAGGAACTGGAGAGCCTTCTGGTGGGAGTGGCAACTGAATTGATCCACTGAGGAACATATAGTTACATGGAGCTTCATTATTCTTTCCAAATGAAGGCACAGAAGATAAAACATGGAGGATAAGGAATAATCAGAGCACACAGTGACTTGGGCTTCAGTACAGGGTGCACTGTTGATACATTGGCAGACCATGAATGTTGGGCTAAAGTTTTTTTGTTTTTGTTTTTAACACTTAATAAATTAGGCATTGAATGATTTTCAGAAGGATGCTCCTATTAGATCTCTGTGTTTGATTGATCTAGAAATGGTGGTTGGGAGATCTTAGAGTGGAGTGACAGATGGAAAGCAGTTGTCAATCATGCAAGTGATTGTTACAGTGATAGCACGGGAGAGTTACAGTGATACATGAGAGGAATAAACTCTGGGGCTGTTGTGAAAGTGGAATCTGCAGTGATGACTCAGAGGCCTTGAGTCTGAGCAACTACTGATGATGCACTGAGAAGACCACACAGTGAGTCAGTAGACAGGTCTCTGTCCAGATTCTACATCCGTGGTGCTCATGATCTTGGGAAAGTGACTTCACCTATTCAAATTGTAGTTCGTCCATCTATAAATGAGTGGGATTCATAATCTGAGTAGTGTCTGTAAGGGAAAAAGAATCCAAATCTGTAAAGGTATTAATTTTGATATTGTTGTTGTTAAGTGCCATTGAGTCAATTTTGACTCATAGCAACCCTATATAGGGTTTCCGAGCTCTGGTAGCATAGTGGTTATGAGTTGGGCTGCTAACCTCAAGGTCAGCAGTTCGATATTACCAGTGGTTCAGTGGGAGAAAGATGAGGCTTTTTGCTCCCGTAAAGACTTACAGCCTCAGAAACCCTACACGGGGTAGCTATGGGTCAGAACTGACTCAACGGCACTTAACAACAACAACAACATAGGGTTTCTGAGGAGCAACTGGTTAGTTTCAACTGCCAACCTTACAGTTCAAACCGACCTTGTGGTCCAGCACAGTGCCACATCCAAGACATTGAGACTCTCCCAATTCAATGATTTGATGTGCCATTGATTACTGTACTCTCCTCTCTGTTCCTTCCTACTCTCTGCCTTTCAGAGAGTGTACTTAGAACTGCCCCTGGAGGCTACACAGGAAATCAACAAGAATGACCAGATGAATCTTCCAGAGGAATAACAGCCAAGCTACTGAGTAATATCCACCTATTTTCCTCATCCTTTGCTCCATGCCTTGCTCCTCACCACTCTTAGAGGCCAGCAATGTATGGGGTAGACATGTGAGGTGAGCCGTATTAGAAATGCGACATGGAAATAGCAATCTGCTTCATAGGGGAATAGTATCATAAACATGTTAGTCCACCTAAATCATTTACAAGGACAAGAATATTTGAAAAACTCAGATGTTGAATCAGAATTCAAGTCATCTTCAAGACCCTGGGATTTTGGAGTAGATCTAAGTCTCCACAATAACATGAACAACAGTTGAGTCTCCTGAAGGTATCTTGGACTGTTTAAGAGTGGTGCCTGACTTTCCTTGTTCCCTTACTCCCAGGTCACCATACACACTTAGTCGGGTATGATTTCACAGGGAGCTGCCTTAGTTGGAAGCCCTAATCATCCTCATTCCTATGTTCCACCAGACTGGGGCATGAGTATGTTTTATTGTTATTAAGTGCCTTTGAGTGCCAACTCATAGCAACCCAGTGTTTATCCTATAGCACATACCAGAACTAGAGGGAAATCACTCCTGCTCTTACTTTCTACAGCAGTCTCCCGTCCCTCAAGGTAGGAGAGTGAGAACAAGATGGGTCCATAAATACATAAGTATGTGCCCAACAGTGGGCTTGCCCCTAAGGATTGACAACAGGGGAAAAAAAAATGCACTTGGCCTCTATTAACTTCTAGCTGCTGGTTCAGATGGAGACAGGCTGTACATGCCAGAGGATATTTTGGAATCTCTTTTTCTCCAAAAGGGAGAAAAGGGGATTCTAAAATAAAAATACTAACATGACAACTAAAATAAATATGTACTGAGTCACTCTTATGTTGTTACTGTTAAGAGTCATGGAGTTGGTTCTGACTCACAGTGATCCTGTATAGGGTTTCCAAAGAGTGGCTGGTGGACTTGAACAACTGACCTTTCAGATAGCAGTCCAGTTCTTATCCCACAGTGCCATACCAGGACTGGCAATGAAAAATGTGCAAAGAAGATTACCAAAACAAATCCATTTATAATAACATCTAAAGGCATAAAATATTTAGGAATAAATTGAACCAGTGAGGTTAAAGGCTTGTATATATACCAAACACTATAAAACATTACTGAAAGTAATTAAAGGAAAGCTAAGTGAATGGGGAAATATTCCATATTCGTAGGTTTTCAATCTATGACTTAAAACTGTTAAGATGTTAAGACTTAATACTGTTAAGATGTCACGGCTACCCAAAGCAACCTACAGATTCAACCAAATTCCTATCAAAGTTTCAACAACTTTTTTTTTTCTTTTCTTTTTTACACAAATGTAAAGCCAGTCCTCAAATTTGTATGGAATAGCAATGGACCTGGAATAATAAATAGCCAAAATCATCTTGAAAAAGAATAATAAATTTGGAGGACTCACACTTTGCAATGTCAAAACTTTCTACACAAAGCAACAATCACTAAAACAGTGTGTTAATGGCATAATCATAGACATATGGAATTGAAATACACATATATATATTTATTTATTTAAGGATCCCTGGTAACATAGTGGTTACTAGTTGGGATGCTAACCTCAAGGTCGACAATTCGAAACTACTAGCTGTGTGAGAGAAAGATGAAGCTTTCTGCTCCCATAAAGATTTACAGCCCCCAAAACCCTATACAGGTTGCCATGAGTCAGAACCAACTCCATGGCACACAATCACCATCACCATTTATGATGGAGTCCTGGTGTGGTGTTGTAGGATAAGCACTGGACTGATAACTGAAAGGTTGGTGGCCCAAACTCACTGACAATTAACAACAACAACATGATCAACTCATTTGTTGTTTCTTCAACAAAGGGTGCTGTGATAACTGAATTTCCAAATGTAAAAGAATGAAGCTGGACCACTACTTCATATCATACAAAAATTTGCTAAAAATTATCAATGGCCTAAATTTAAGCACTGAAACAATAAAAACTCTTAGAAGAAAACATGAAGGTAAATCTTCATGAATTTGAATTTGGCAATGATTCTTAGATAGGACACCAAAAGCATAGGCAACCAAAGAAAATAAAGTTAATTGTATTTAATTAGAATTCGAAACCTTTATGCATCAAAGTACATTATCTGGAAAAGTGAAAACAACCTACAGAGTGGCAGGAAATATTTGCAAATAACATATATGATAAGGCCTTAACACCCAGAATACATAAAGAACTCCTATAACCCAACACGGAGCCCAGATGACACAGTGGGTTATGCAAAAGGTAGGCAGTTGGAACACCCCAGCCCTTGCCTCCATGGAGGAAAGATTAGGCTGTCTGTTTTGTAAAGATGTATGGACTTGGAAACCCTAGATA